CAGACACTAGTGATTGGAACATGGAATGTGAGAACCATGAATGTAGGAAAATTAGAAATTGTTAAAAAAGAAATGGAACGCATAAATATTGGCATACTAGGCATTGGAGAGATGAGATGGACTGGCATGGGGCATTTCGAGTCAGATGATCATATAATTCATACAGTGTAGCTTCTTAAATTATTTGCTTAGTATACAGACTGATGGAGAGAGGATACGGTCCTGACACACACCTTTCCTGATTTTTAAACCATGCCATGTTCCTGGACAGTAGTTAGGGGAAGAAAAAAAAATCTTCATCTCCAGCTAGACGATGTCTTTGTAAACAAGCACAAAACACCACTGTGCATTCTCAGTAACTTTGCAGAAACAGCTTATAAGAAACCCTAGGCTCAAGAAACAGAAGAACCTGAAACTCCCACATACCCTTGAGTCTACATGTCAGTGTGGGAACATCCAGCTCACCTGTGGTGGATCTGCTGCTGTGCCGGCCTGGAGACCTTTCACTGTCTTCTCTAGTTCAGCCATCATCACACGGAAGAAAACGACAAAAGTGTGCCTAGCAGCAGGAAAAAAACACGCATGCCCACACAAATGGTTAGAACTACTCTAGCAAAGTAGGGAGCATACACCAATTTTCTTTTCCACTTCTCTCATCTACTTTAAGAGGATGAAGAGGGTAGAGGATTCAGAAAGCAAGAAGCTCAGAATGGAATGGGCTTTAGGAAGGCAGGGAGAAAAGGTGGCCTGGTAAGAGCAATAGAATAGCAGTGAGGAGAGGTGAACTCAAGTCCTTGTTGGTGTAAGTGTGGGGAAACTGCTGCTTCAGTCTTCATTTTCCCAGGAGTGATCAATCTCACAGAATCATGCAAAGTATCAAATGAGGCAAAGAATAGGACATTGCATTACAAGCTACAAAGGCTATACATGTGAAAGAGAATGACCAACTACTAAGATATTACTGCTGTTATGTGCTGTTGAGCTGCCTGCGACTCATAGTGACCCTATGTACAATAGCCATAAACCCTGCTCTATCCTTTGCCAATCTTGCTGTCTGACACACCTATCTACATTACCCCAGTGACTCAATCAATCCATCTCATAGAGGGTCTTTCTCTACTACGCTGTCCCTCCACCCTCCCAAGCATGACGTCCCTCTCCAAGGACTGGTCCCACCTTGAAACATGTTCAAAGTACGTCAGACAAAGCTTCAGAATCCTTGCCTCCAAGGGGCAGCCTGGCTTCACCCTCTCCAGGATGAACTTGTTTGTTTTCCTAGCTGTCCGTGGTATATTCAATATTCCTCTCCAGCACCACAGCACATCAACTCTCCTTCTATCATCCCAAGTCATTGTCCAGCTCTCTGATGGATAGCAAGTAACTGCAAAGACCATGGCCTGTATCCGGTGCACCTTAGTCTCCAGACTGATGTTGTTGCTCTTCAGTACTATGGAGAAGTCTCTGACAGTAGACTTTCCCAGTGAAATTTGCCTTTTAATTTCCTGGCTGCTGGTACCAAGAGTGTTGATTGTAGAGCCAAGCAAACTGAAGCTGTCAACAATTTTAATCTCTTCATCATCTATCATGATGCTGTCAATCGGCCAGTGCTGAGAATCTTTGTTTTCTTGATGTTGAGCTTCAATCCATATTTAAGAGGGCAGTCCTTGACCTTCTGCAGCAAGTGCTTCAGGTCCTCCTCAGTTTCAGCAAGCAGGGTTGTGCCATCTGATTGTTGATGAATCTGTAACTCAGATTGTTGATGAATCTTCCTCCAATCCTGACACTATACTTCTCCTCATAGAGCCCAGCCTCCCAGATAATCTGTTCCACATATAGATTGAAATGATATGGAGATAGAACACATACTTTATGTACACCCTTCCCAATTTTGAAACATGCAGTGTTTCCTTGCTCTGGTCTGATGACTGCTGCCTGATCCAAGTATAGGTTTCACATAAGCACAAACAAATATTCTGGGATTCCCATTCTCAGAGTCAGCCACAGCACAGTATTTTGTGATCCACACAGTCAAATGCCTTTTCATAGTCAATGACACACAAATAGACATTCCTCTGGTACTCTGTGTTTTCAGCCAAGATCCATCTGACATTAGCTATAATATCCCTAGTGCCACAGCCTCTTCTGAATCCAGCAACTAAGATGGATGTGATGCTGCTTGATGAGCAAGCATCCTGCAAAAGTAGTTATAAAGTTGGCAAACTGTCTCAAATTTAGAAGGATGAAAGTATAAGAATGTTCCTCGCCTTTGAAGATTATAACCATTGAAATTTCATTCCTCAACTAAGATCTATATGTGGGCTGACTGAGAACCCCTGGGAAAAATTTGAAGTGGTCACTGAACATGGGTTGAGTGAATGACTGTCCCTACCATATAAGGAGACTTCACAGTATCGAACAAGAAAAATCAGATTTAGGTGAGTGAGGCATTATTTGAAAACTGCATATGCTGGAGTATGTAAACCTAAAGGTGGAGGGAACTGCCTTACCTGGTCAGCGTAGGGAATGTGGACGAAGCTGAATCTTTTGGAGAGTTTATCAGTTCTGGGACACCCACACCTGCAATCTCCTCTATGGCCTTCAGCACACTATCTGTGTGCTCGAGGTAGATGCTGTGGTAAGGGTCACAGAAGGGTGAACACTTGCCAGAAACTCCCAAGTCAACATTTTTTCTTGAGACACTCCATGCATTAAGCTTTAAAATAACTAACAGCATTTATTTTTCATAAAATAACAAGGATTTCAAACACATCCAGGAAGTAAAGGGAATGATTTCTCAACTGGCAATAATAGACACCAGAGGCAACAGACACATATTGGATGTATCAAGCAATATAAATATCTGAGTCACTGACTGCAGACTCCTTAATTTACCTTATGATTGAATTTAATTATAAGGCAATAATAAGCAATGTGAAACAAATCTAGAGTCACACATTTGTTCATTTCAAAACCATGTCACTGCTTTCTACTTCCCCCTAAACAAGTTGATTTCTCTGTCTGACCAGATGAGGGTCCCATGGATAGTAAAATGGAAAAAGGCTAGTTGGCTCCAAAGAAATCAAGCACCTCACCAGAGCAGAGCCTGGAGCTGCTCGCTGAAAGTGCTGCTCTTCCCTTTCTCTCCACTTGGCCACACCCTGCAGAGGAATCGTCTAGCCAGGGAAGCTGTTGGAGAAACCAGACAGACATCTTATGAATGAAAAAAAATCTGTCACTGTTAGCTTCCTCAGCTTGTGGGTGGGTGGGGGAGATTATTGATCAAAAGCATTATTTTTTGGATCAAGTTTGTGGTTTAAAAACAACACAAAAACTGCTGTCAGGTACTTTTCCACTGGCTATTCTTTCAGGGGAAAAACACAATGTCTAAGACCTAACATTCCCCACCCCTTGGCCAATCCTAATATATACACACACAAAGGAATGCGGTTGGGCAGTGGGAAACTACTCCCATGTCTTCTGAGTAGATAGAAAAACAATGGCCATCATAAAGATTCTGATCAAACACCATTTAATTAACAGGGACTAATAAAGGTTTGGTTTACATTTCCCGTTTTCTGTGTCCTGTGAACCAGGACATATAAACAATTGCATTTCAAGAAATGATAAAAGACAGCAACAATGAATGAATGGAAACCCAAATTCTTTATAAACTTTCATTAAAATCTAAAAAAAATTATTTTTTTTAAAAAAAGAAATGATAAAAGACAAAGCTCAAAAAAAAAAAGGACAAAGCTCATAGAAGATACCAGGCCCTCCTTTACACTTGATCCTGATTTTTCCTTTCATTCCTAATTTATTAAGCTCATGATTTGTAATTCTTTTTGTCAGATATCTCAGAATTTAATGAAATAAATAAAAATATACAAATGAATTTAAGCAAAAGAGAAAATTATTTTGTCTGCTGAGCAGTCCTGTGAAAACTTCCTTCTTAGAAGAGGGAATGGCCAAAGTTATGTGGAATGTTCCATGTAAAATGTACAAGGTCCTAGAAAACCCTGTTTATAAGCTTAAAGTATTAATCCTATTCATAAAGAGAAAGAATTTGATCTCATCACCAATGTTTCCTTTCTTCTGAGCAGGAGCTGCAGATTTCTCAGAAATGGCCATCAGGAGTCGGATGAGATAAAAGGCGCACTGAAAATTGGGGACACTGTGGTGGAAATTCTGCAAGTACCCAAAGCTCTGGCTGTGGGGTGAGAAGAAAAGACAACAGTTTCAACAACTGTTATGGATACATCTAAACCCACATTATTTCCCCATGTTTGCTTAAGTAGTTTGATACATTAATCAAACTTCTAAATGGGTCCTCTCCAGTTCCAGATGCAAACTTGTTAAGTATCTGGGGAGAAGGCTATTTCCATAAAGAGATCAGAGCCTTGAAGGAGTCATCTATGCCAGGAAACCATGGACAAGCTTGTTGTTAGGGCCACCAAGTCAGCTTCAGCTCACAGCAACCCTCTGTCTAAAAGAACAAACCGGGCACAGTCACATCACAACTTCCTAATTTGCTGAGCTTAAGCCCTTGTTTGCAGTCCATTTTATCAATCTAGTTGAGAATCTTCCTCTTTTTTGCTAACATTCCACTTTCCCCTTTTTTTGATAAAAAGTATTATTCCACCCCTGGCATTAAGGTGGATTCTACTTTGAGGAAACAGCACTTCCCCAGCTGTATTTTGAGTGTCTTCAACCTGGGGGGGGTCTCATCTTTTGGCACTGCACCAGACAGTCTTCTGCTGTTGTTGGATTATACAGGGTTTTCAAGGGCCCATTATTTCAGAAATGGATGGCTAGATACGCTTCCTAGTTTGTCTTAGTCTGGAAGCTCCTCTGAAACCAGTATACCATGGGTGATTCTGTCAGTATCTGAAATACTGGGTGCAGAGCTTCAGCATCACAACAACATGCAAGCCACCACATAACAGCAAAAGGCAAGGGTGGAGTAGTCATCTAGGCCACACTTACAAGCCTGAATACTTTGCTCTTTAAGGTCTGAGATAATACACTGAGAAAAATACTCAAGCTCTAGATTCACAGAAACAAAGTGAAAGGAAATTACAATGTAATTTTAATACAGTGAAAGTATTCAATGCCTTGAAGTAAAGGAAAACGGGGAGTGCCAATAAATTAAAACTTGGAGCTGAAATAAAAATTAGGGTTGACTCCTGATTGACTGGAGGTCAAACAAAAATAATGACTTTAAAATGAAGTAAGAACCAACAATACAGGCAGTGATGGCAGCACCAATGATGACCAAACGACAGTTCGCTATCAGTGGAGGTGAGCAAAGACAAAGCTACTCTGGCTGAAGCTGGGGACCAGGCCCCTCACATCTTCCTATCTTGCTCCTCTACTATCTAGCCCTCAGACTAGGCTACACTTTTTCAAAGGTGTAGGTAGGAGACAGGCAATTAATGATAATTTTAAATGAGAAATTATTAATATAATTTATCAATTATTGTTGTTGTTTTTAGTGTAGTTGGAACCGACCCATGGCTGACCCTACTGCAGGTTTTCAGGGGCAGTTAACTGCACAGGAGGAGACTGCCCATTCTTCTCCTGCGGAGCAGCTGATGGCCGCAGCTTCTTACCACTAGAGCTCCCTTGTTATAATGGTAAGTAATTCTATGAGTTATGTCAGTTAGTTGATTCTAACTCTTAGTAACTCTAAAGGACATGGTACAACAGTCCCATAGGCTTTCTGGTGACCTAGTGGCAAGAAGCTGCACTGCAATATCTAATGAACATGGTTCAAGGCTACCAGCTGCTTCATGGAAGAAGGCTGGGTAATCTCCTGAAAACCCGTAGAGGGTCAGCTCTGGGTTGGTTCTGACTCCAAGGCACACAACAACCACCACCTTTCTTTCTCCTATGGAGTGGCTGGGGGGTTCAATCCACAGACCACCAGGGCTTCTTCAGTAATAACTGGAAGTCGCCTCATTACTCAGTCCTGCTAAGAGAAAACTCCCCGGACAATCCAGCATTGATTACAGATGGGCAGACTTTACAGGATGAAGGATAGAGGGAGACTGAATAAGATTTATTCAAAAGTTCTAATGCTTTTGAGATTTACCTGGATAAATAGGTGAGAAAGTTTGTATACTGAGGGTAAGCAGCTGGACATGGCAGGAATTTTCTTTTTTTTTTTTTCCCTATAATTATATTTTATTAATTTTCATAAACATTTACAGAGATTTTGGGCTTCCACTCATTCA